AAGAGCCGAGAATACAGAAATGTTGGGAGGGTGGATTTTTCAGGTCAAACTCCGAGCACCGTGTGACAGGCGCCCTGTTGGGGTTCTGGGAACTGTGGGGGAGACGCATGCTTTGTGGGCTTTCTCGTGGAGCTCGGTGAAGAGGCCGAGGTGCCAGCTGGTGCGGACGAGGCACGGCTGACGGGTGTCACATGCTGTCACAGAGAAGGCCCTGGCCAGGAGTCAGAGCTCTGCACAGGCCGCGGGCATGTGGGCGCCCACACTGGCCCCAGGGTGAGGAGCCAGGTGGGATCTGGGGGTGCGGTCCCAAAGCAGGCAATTCATGGTCTCTGCTCCCAGACCTTGTTCTCCCCGCCACCCCGACCCCCAGCTCCTGGGCACCTCATCAGGTAGTGCCCTGCCTCCCAGACCCCCTGACGCTCTCTCTCCATCAAAAGCTGCTCTCAGAACAGATCTGCCGAGGCCAGCGTGACTGAGTCGACCCATCGACCCATCGCATTCTCCCAAGAGGCAGCTGCATTATTGACAGGACGGCACCTTAGGGCGCGGAGGGAATGCTCAGAGGGGCTCTGGGTGTCCCGAGCCAGAGGGGAAGGGACCACCTTAACCGAGTTGATGTAGGAGAATCTCTTTCCTGCCGGAGTCCCCAGGGAAGGAGGTGCTCCCGGCTCAGCAGTCTCGGGAGGCACCGGGGACACACTATCCGGCTGGAAAGTTCATTAAGTATTTACCCAGGACGCAGGCTGCCCGCTGCTGCTCAGGGCTGGGTCACGTGGCTCAGGAAGAAGTGGAGGTCGGACCAGAGGAGTTTCTGAGGGCCCAGGCAGTGGCTTCTCTGCCTCAGGTGAGGGTGCCGTGGGTGTGGGGCAGGGGTCCTCAAACTACGGCCCGCGGGCCACATGCAAATACAAATATTGTATTTGTTCCCGTTTTGTTTTTTTACTTCAAAATAAGATATGTGCAGTGTGCATAGGAATTTGTTCATAGTTTTTTTTTAAACTATAGTCCGGCCCTCCGACGGTCTGAGGGACAGTGAACTGGCCCCCTGTTTAAAAGGTTTGAGGACCCCTGTGGGGGGTGCCTCGGGCGTGCGGGGGGCCGCGGGCAGGGAGGCGGTGCTTCGGCGGGAAGGGGGTGCTGCAGGCGGGGAGGGGTTGCCCTGGGCTTGGGGGGGTGCTGCGTGCATGGCTGGGGTGCCCGGGAGGACAGAAAGAAGGGCTCCAGTGAGTGGAGGTGCCACCGGGCAAGGCACTCGGTGGGTAGGAGAGAAGGGTTTTCTAACTCCTGAGGGTTGGGGGTCAGGAAGGGAGAAAGAAGGGTGGACACATGACATGTCTATCCCTGATGGGGACCCTGGAGGCCTGGCTTCCTGTCTGCTCACCTGTGGGAGGTGGGAGCCCTGGGAGGGCCCCCCTGTCAACCTCACAGCCTCACACTGAGGTCTGCCCTGGGGAGGCCGCAGGAGGAAGGCCCTGGGGGTGTGTCTCCCACCTGAAGCTCACGGGGCAGCTGGATGGGGAGGGGAGGCAGTAGCCTGGGAGCCGGGCGGAGGGCAGGCTGTGGGCAGCGGGTCTTCTCCATGGGCCGTGGGACTGGCCTGAGACGCAGGTGCTCTCGGGCGGTAGGTGGGCCCCTGAGGCTGACACATAGTGGCCCATCCCCTGCTCCTCCAGCCACATCGCCAGGAGCTGGAGCGCGGAGCTCGGTGGGCAGCACTGACCCCCCCCCCCCCCCCCCCGGCAGCGTCTCCAGCCCTGGGCAGCGGCGCATCAGGTCGTCATGTGGACGCTGGCAGCCCTCCTGCTGCTGGGTGAGTCCGCAGGAAGCAGGGGACATGGGTGTGTGGGAGAGTGTGTGTGTGTGTGGGGAGAGTGTGTGTGTGTGTGTGTGTGTGGAGAGCGCGTGTGTGTGTGTGTGTGGGGGGGGAGAGTGTGTGTGTGTGTGTGGGAAGAGAGTATGTGTGTGTGTGGGGAGAGCATGTGTGCGGGGAGAGCGTGTGTGTGTCGGGGGGTGAGGCGTGGGGGGTATGCAACCCTCGACTCCACAGTCCACTATCTTGGAGGGTGAAGAGGCGGAGAAAGCCAGGGCTGGGTTCCTGCTGAGTCTCTTCCCGGGCAGGAGCCCCTTGCACCCCTCACAGCCCAACCTTCCTCCTTCCCTCTCTTTCATCCTTGCTTCGCAGCGCCAAGCAGTGGACACGCTGGTGAGTCTGATGCCTCCCTCACCAGTGTTGACACTTTCCACACCAGCCCCGTGACCTGCGTGGGCCTCCCCCTGCCTGTGCTGGGAGTGTCTTTCCCACTCCACCCCGTCCTGTGACAGCTCGCCTGCGGCTTAGACCTGGTGCTGACGGGACGGACACCTCGCAGCCCAGAGGCCCTCCCCCGAGGCTGGGTTAGGTCGAGGGCTGGCCCGGGGGCTGGGGTTTCCCGAGATCCCCCACCTCAGAGCACACCTGTGGGCACCTCGCCTTGACCCCTTCCACACTGCCCCCCCTCCCCCGCCCTGCAGTGGCCCTGGAGAAGCCCACGCTGTCTCTGCACCCCCCCTGGACCACCATCTTCAAGGGGGAGCGGGTCACCCTGCAGTGTGACGGGCACCACCCTCTGGTCGTGGAGCTCCGGCCCATCAGCACCCTCTGGTACCTGGGCCACCTGCTGCTGCCCTCTCACGGGAGGAGCATCGAGGTGCAGACCCCAGGGGTGTACCGGTGCCAGACCCGGGGAGCGCCCGTCAGCGACCCTGTCCACCTCTCTGTCTCCAATGGTGAGTGGTGAGTGTCTGCCCTGGGGGGTGGGCACAGGCTCCTCGGGGTACTGGCCATCCTGTGGGAAGGACACCGGGCCACTCCCATTGGGGCAGGAAAGGGGGGCACATGGCACTGGGTGCAGTAAGGCTGGCCTGTCCCCGAAGGTCCCCTCCGCTCCTGCCACAGTGGGTGGCAAATGGGCATTTCTGTTGACGAGACTGGCTCCAAAGAGCAGAGGCCCTGAGCACCTGGGACACTGGCCAGAGAAGCCGGGTGGGCAGGGCAGGGCCGGGCCGCAGGCCGCACAGTGGTCAGTCTGGACGGGGCTCCTCTGTGCCCCTCAGCAAGAGGGCAGCTGCGCGCCGGCTGTGCAGGAGGCCGGAGTTCCGCCTCACAGGCCCTGTGTGCCCTGAGGGGTCACTGAGACACTGGCCTGGGGACACTTACAGGCTTCAAAACAGGAGCCGAGAACAACAGAAATGCATTCCTCGGGCCAGGCTGGCTGCTGGGTGGGGTATGACGTCACCTGGGACCCGTAGGGCGCAGTTTGTGTTCAGAATTTAATGACGGCCACTCAGTGCTCAACTGGCACTTACAAGCCTCACGTCCACTCTGTGTTTCTTGGTTGGAAAGTACAGTGAGTGCAGGTGAGGTAGCGGCCGCGCTAGCCAGTGGCCGCCGCTTGCAGAACTGAGTGCCGCTGGCCATTCCCTCTCGGTGTAAACACGAGGCCAGTTTCCCCAGCGCCCGCACAGGGACGGGCGAGGGAGCCGTCCACTCTGTTCTTGGTTGGAAAGTACAGTGAGTGCAGGTGAGGTAGCGGCCGCGCTAGCCAGTGGCCGCCGCTTGCAGAACTGAGTGCTGCCGGCCATTCCCTCTCGGTGTAAACACGAGGCCAGTTTCCCCAGCGCCCGCACAGGGACGGGCGAGGGAGCGCGGG